GCTGGTCGAGCACACGTTTGTGAAAGCAGATCGAGCCAGCGAGATTATGCGCGACAGAGGGACATCGGGTTAGAGGGAGAGGAACGTACGAGATGAAACAAGTGAGAAACACGAAGGGAGAGAGAGCTGATACCGATGGAAACCTATTACCATCTATCTCAATGCCGGTGTAATGGATGCACAGCCCCGATTATCAATCCGTAATAATTGTGCATATTAAACGGACGCTAATTATCGGTCCGGCCGCGGGCCACGGGCACCGCCAGCAAATTGCGCAAGTTATGCTGGGTGTGCGCGCTGTTAAAACACGGCCCCATAATGACAGCGCGGAAAAGAGCCACGGCGAAAAGATAATTACGCTGGAAATCACTCTGCCCGAATATAACGCGACGGCCGCCGGCCGCAGCTATCGCCACCGCCGTCCCTCATCGAGCGGCACCGGTTTCGAGTCAATCCCTCCCCGCGTTCGAGTTTTATGAAACGTTCAACGTATTAATTAATGATCGTTATCGATCAGTACGACCCCAGGCGAGCTCCACTCGTGCGAGTAACGCGTCACGCGATTAATAACACGGACATTATTATTATTATTTCAGTCGAGTGTCGCTAGGGGGATTTCTTTACGCCGAGCGATCGATCATCGTCGAATCCTACAGTGTTGCGGTGAACGCAGGCCCTTTCGTCGTTGGGAGGTCTGGCCGAAAACTTTCTCGAGTCGTTCTTTTTCAATTTGTTGGGTTGGGTTGCTCGTCGGGTTGGCTTGCCAAGCTTTTCGAATTTTTAATTATCGAGAGTAAGAATTTGCAGGTTAAAGGTGCATCCTCTTGGTTTAGTATTCAATGTTTTTGAAGCGGAATATCAGCTTTTTGGTTTCGAACAGTCGGTAGATTTTTGTATTCTCTTATTTTTAATTTGGGATTCCGAGAATACTGGATTATTCAGTTTTAATTTTGGAAAAAAATTCATTCGGAGCTTGTCTCAACTTGCTTTGCAACTTGGAGAAATATTGTTCACATCGTGTACTTCAACGATATGCACGAAATGCTTCTATTAAAGTTTCTGTATGATAAGAACAAACGTTCAAGTATCATCATTTTTTCGGTAAAATGTTGTGCTCCCAAACTAAAACGAATAATATACATTCAAAACTCGAACTAGATTGAACATTTTATTACATTTCCACGAAAGAACATTTTAATTACATTTCCATCAACTTCAAATGCAAACGTTAAACACTAACTCGCCCATCTCGACCAAAACATCAGCCGGAATTGTTCCGTATCACATTTTATACTATTTCCATTAAATCAATTTCAAACACGTCCCCGGAGGGCACCGAGGATACCGTGAATTTAGCGATTACTCGACTTCAACCCAATTATCGTTCGCCGGAACAAGGAGTCAGTTAATTGGACGTCACAAAAATTTCCAATCCCTCTGTGCGTCCGGTTTCGACGAAAACCCCGCACCGGATATCTCGCTTTTCTTCTATTTTCGCTGTCAAAAGATCGCCGATGCCGAACGAATCGACCATGAACCGCCCCCGCGAGCCGCCGTTCGTTCACGGGCGCCATTGTCTTCCCGTGCGTCGATCCAGACAGCGCGATAGTTCCCAAATCGATTTACCCCCGGCGAAACGGGCTTCTTTCCCCGCGATCGATCCCAGAACGATCCTGCGGGCCACTCGAGATCAGAAGCAACGACGGGAACACAGGCCTCGAGCGGTCTCTCGAGCCTTTTTTTGCCAGGCCCGAAGCGCTTTTAATAAACGCGCGCCGCGCCCAGCAGCCGCTTTATGTTATCAAAGGTGGGGTAAAGGGTGCCAGCGAAAGAGAAAAAGAGGGAGCGGGACACACCGGCAGGAGAGAGGGAGGGGGATAACGGGAGAGAAGAACCGGGGGTTGCATTTGACGACGAGCTTTTTACGGCCCTGTGTTCCGGTGTTCGGGCTTTTACGTCCATTTCAGGTTTCCTCCTCTTCCACCGGCTGATCCGCCTGGCCCTCCTATTTCTTCTTCGCGTGCTCTTTCCCTTTTGTACACGCGACCCTTCAGTCTCTCGCCCTATTCACCTGTTTTACTTTCCTGCCTGTTATTCAATATAACAGAGGGGATTGCTATCATCAGAATCTCGTCCCTTTTCCAGCTGGTCTTTTTGCGAACTGGATTAAAAAACGTAGAAATAGAGGTTGGGAAGTCTGTATGCATCTTGGACTATGTTTTGCTTGAAATTTCCGAGGGTGGTTTATTAAAATATTATGAAATTTCGGGCGGTGACTTGAATGCGCGGGTAATTTGTGCGGTATTCAATTTTTAAAACAATTTCGTAAGGGGGAGAGGGTTCTTTTAGAATTCTAAGATTCTAACTTGTTTTTTTCTTTAGAAGCTTCAATCTAAAAATTTTGAGGGCAATAAACATACAAGCACTGTTTCGTTGAATTTGAAATTTAGACCATAATTTAGTTACCATGTGCTTTTCGTATTCTTCACTTTACTTTATATCTGTTTCAGCCACCTCATTCTACACCATTTTATTGTTTCCGTATATAACACTCGTAATATTCCAGTATTTCTCACATTTTCTCTTTCCACCGGGAAGATCATCGTCGCTTAGATTCTTCACAATTGGAAGTCGAATAATCCGTGGAATTTTTGGAATTGTACCTTTATATACCTTCAAACGTAGTCGTTTTATCGAGGTTTGAGAAAGCGCGCCGTGACGTAACAGCGTTGAACGTAGTTTTCCTATATTGGCATTCATATTTTTCTCTCGGCAAATTTGTTCCCTTCTTGATGGAATATCGAGCATCTGGCTCAAAGCTCGACCGTATCGGCATCCGTTTGGCAGGTCTTGCTAACTTCCTCTGGCAGGAGCATCGACATTCGACGGATCGGACGAGGAGACGTTTAATCCCATTTTATTTGAAAACGATCGAAGAATTGCCTATAAAAGAGGTGCTCTTTCCGAAACTTTCGTCGACGTATACGACTTCGACTGGAACTCCGCGAACAAAGTGGGTTTTACTTCTGGTTTAAAGACGCCATTTTTAAAAAGTGTCCCAGAACTGCGCCAGGTAACGACGTTCCGATGCTCACTTAGCAATGCTTTAAAAACACTCAGCTAAAGGATCATTGTTAAGATAAAAAACTTCTCACAGTCGAAACGATCAAAAAGTTGTCGAATGGACAATTGCTTCGTCAAAGGAGAGGTACGGCAGGGTGTAAAATGAAATTAGTACGAGATTGGTAGACTTCTTCGAATGTTCAATGTATTTTGTATATTATATTAGGCAAAGTTAAGTGATTAGTTTGTTATTATTAGACCTGGACTGTATATAGATTAACGCATAGAAATATAACATTAACAGACACTTTTTATACAGATCACGAGCTAAAAACTTTAAAGAAGAATATCTCCACGCTTGAACCATCAGGCTCCTTCCAAATTTTACTATATGCAGACAAAATCGATGCTAGCTCACGATCGATATTGAACAAAAATTCAAACAAGGGTATATACTAAAAAATTCCGTTAACTAGACTCACAGTGATCGTGAGAAATGGACTGAGCACGGTTCCAATTTCAGATTGTAATCCGCAAAGAGAACGGCTGCCCAACCGAACAACCCAAAAACGTATCGTTATTTCGTGCCAGGTTTCCCTCCATTCGTCGCTAAAGAACGGATACACGCAAGGTTGGTCGTAAAATCCGAAGCGTTTCCCAGGGTTTATGGGTCGCGTGGCATTCGAAAAAGTCTCTCACCTCGAGTTGGATCAGCGGGATTGAGCGATGGAATCGGGACGAGGGGAAGGAACCTCGAGCGCCTGTTCTGCTCGAAAAACGACTTCGACCGCGTCGGATTTCATCTCGTAAAAGAAATTAGAGCGTCGTGTGGCCCGCGCTACTACGGAATGTCGACGAACGGAACGAATAAAACGGGGGAGATCTATACGATCGAGTTTGGGGAATGATAGAAGAAACAGCGCTCGAACAGAAAGGAAAAATAAAACTAGCAATGTTGTTGCAAAACTTCGCTGGTGTTATTACAGTTCGGAACAGGAGTGCATAGTTTGAATGTTGTCATGGGTAGAATCAACTGCAGTCGAAGTTGAACAGGTTAGTTTTTGAAGACGGAATTTTTTAGAAGGAAATTAAAATTTATATGGAATTTTAATATTACATGTGCTGGCTTCGATGTGAAAGAATATTATACTCTTTAACGTGATATCTTGATTCAAGAATAGTAGATCAATAATCGTGCACAGAGTAAATGTTAATAACGAGAACGTTGAATAATCGGTGCGGTTCTATAACAAGGGACTTAGCAACGATGATCTTCCACAACTGATACAACTAGACGTCCACGTGGATCTAATCTGCAACCCCTGGCTCTGAAAATGACGTACAAAGAGAGCTTCCTAAGGCTTTCGTAGCAGTAATGCTACAGATTCCATGACAATAATATTCGAGCAAGTTATCGACAAATTCGTGAAAAATAAACGGTGCCTTACTGTTAAGTCTTCCTGGAAGCATTCTCCGCAGTTAGTCGACGCGACGTCGTAACAGAGATTAATCGAATTTAATCGTCTGTCGACAGGTTTATCGAAAACCTGGCGAAAGAGGATTTAGCGTATCGCCTCGAGGATAGACGAGCGGATTAAGCGGGGAACGCGGAGCGGAAATCGAGGTAGCTGGATAATATTCCGGATTAATCGTCATCCTGTGCGCGTTCCTCGTATTTACGCATTCGCGCATCTTCCATGGGAGCGAATCCGCGAAGGAGTTCGCTGGCATCTCGATGCGATTATCGCGTTCCGGTATTCGCCGTTTCAGCGACAAATGGAGCCGATTTTGTGTCTCGCGAGCAACGAAATCATTGTTCAACGCGCGGACACCGAGTCGTGACAATGGTGCTCGATGTTAACAGACGGTTCGTCGATTGTCGATTGGCGGAACCGCAGATTGTATATTGTCTAGCGGTTAAAATGTTTGATACTCACATGCCTCTCCTCTGCGGGGTTGAGACCTGCAACAAATGAAACGAGTTATTAACATCAATACAGATTACAGTTAGGAATGATCGCCACCCTTAAGGTCTTCGTTACAACTTTTAATTTCATGTACTTTATTACATTCTTGTTGGGACGAAATTATACTAAACAATTTATTTAATAAATTATTTTCATGACCTTTTAAATTATGATTGAATGTTTAATGTTTTCTTTCTTTTCGGTATCACACAACATATCAGGTCGAAGAATTTCTGTAATGTGGATCTTGAAACCAATAAATTGTTTAATTTCACACTTCTGTTCAAACTGACGTTCAACTTTTAATCAATATCACAAAGAATAATGTATATCCAGCCAAAGGTAGCCAACAGTAACGTTGAATACCATCGAAAGGGAGTCATCGAGCTCCGATAAAAGCGAATCGAATTTTTAGGTGGTCCCTAGAAATCTCGTTAATTGCCACGATCGAGCGGCCCCCGTCGACAAATCGCGCGCATTCACGGTACAAGTGTTTCCCTTAAAGTCCACCGAGCGGCGCTGCCTTCCGCAGAGAACACCGTATTTCCCGGCAAATTGAACCCTCACAATGTTTTTCATGATTATTGCGGAACTAACTCGAACGGAGTCAGCGGTATGCCGGCGGAATCTCTTCCGCGCTGGAAACGAGATAAAAGAAAAAAGGGCCGGGGAATGGTCGGAAGAGGAGCTAGACTTCTCGAGGATTTCCGAGAAGGGACGGTGAATGAAAAGGAAAGAGGGCGGGAGGAGGTCGGAGGAGGAGATCCTGAACGAGAAGCTTTGTCCTCGAGAAGCAGGGTACATAGTTTTCCCTCGCTCGATTTCCCCCGACCTCCTCGTTCTCCGACCTTTTGTCGGCACACTTTGTCTCGCAGGAAATATCCTAACGATATCTTCTTCCTCCTGTTGTTACCCAGACCCACGTAAGAGCTACACGAGTCATTTCTGATCCTTCGAACTTGGAACCCGTAAATCGCACCCCCCCGCGGAGCCTCGTTTCGGATTTACTGTCAACCTTTTTAGAACCGATCAGTCGTTTACTGCATTTGCTAAAAATATATATATTTTATTATTTTTGAATTGCGACGGGTTAAGAACGATTGCTGTAAAACTATCATCCTCCTGTAGGAATTTTTCGTTCGATTTACAAATCTTCTCATACAAAAACCCCTAAATTCGATATACACTCTATTTCAAGGAACAAACAAGAGTATACTAAAATAGAAAGAGAAACAGTTACGATCCCCCTCTGGCACATAAGGAGAACTCATCGCCAGGAAGCCACCCCCGCGAAGCCATTCGCAAATAAAGTAACTCGCGTTTTGCGCGGCGCGATGAAACATATCCGACGCAAGGGCGACTCAGTCGGTTGTTTTATGGTCGACCAAATTAAGGAAAAGTTCATCGCGCGCGTCCAAAAGGATCTCCGGCGAGCTATTACCGTGGCTGTCTGGGGGTGGCGGCGCGCGAACAGAAGGGTCGTGAATTTCTCCGCGTGGACCGTATCCAACTGGCACGGTCCCGTGGTTGCGACGAGGATGGACGAATTTGGCGACGCTCATCCAGCCCGCGAACCTTGCTAATATTCGTTCCTTTCGTCTCTATTCTTCTCGCTGCGCCAGGGAACGGTTCCAAGCACTCCTTCAGCGCCCAGGAACTTCCTGCTCCGGCTCGTAAACGGACGCGGAAGAGCGCGCATAATTTCATACTAAAACGCAAAGAGCTCGTTTGCCGCGCGGGAGGACGGGACGCGTCGTGCATCCTCGCGGAGACCCCTTCAGCGACTTTGCGATCATTAAGTCGAGAGCAGGAAATATAATATTAGCAACCCAGGCCAACCGTTAGGATCGACGCGCGCTATAGTTTGGGGCGAATCATACAAGGAACATTATTAAAACACTGTACATTATTCCATCGCATTTCTCAACTTTTTGCTGTATGGAGTTGATCGTTTCACGGTTTGCTGTCGTCATCCTCAACGTAACGGAGTCACGAAGAGCAGAATTTATCGTACGAGTCCTAGCACCCTACGATTCGGGACGCAAAGGTTACGATAGAAACGGTCCGCGATGGGGGCCGTTCGATGGAATTCAATTTGCGCGTGTCCGACCGGTTTCGGGCGGCCATTGTCTGGTCGAATTATGCGGCGATTACGTTTACGTAATTTATCGTCGTTCGAGTGGACGGCCGCGGAACGCTTCCGGAATACAGAGGAGCGAAGGAGCGTGAACGATGCGACGATAGTGGAATAAGTTACGCTCGGTTTAATGACCCGATCCCCGGGAAAGCAAACTCGCCTCCCTTGCTTCGGACGTCGTAAAAGAAGTCGAACGAAAGAGAGGGCAAAAAAAAAGGGGGACAATATCCTGGAGAGAATTACGAGAAGCGTACACGCTCGAGAGGACCTCGATCGTCCCGGGGGACCATTGCTCGCGCGACTATCCACGATGAAATGGTAATGCGAGCGATACCGGTTTCTAATCGTCTGTAAAAGAGTCCGCCTCGACTTACTTCGAGCTCCCATCGCGCTGAGTAGTTTCCAGAACGACAGGCCCGTGTCGAAGCATGGAGGGCCTTGGGGCCACCCCTAGAGATTAATTCGAGGTGGTTGGATGAATACGCTCGAAGTAAGAAGCTTCTGATGTTTATACTTGCGGTGCACGGTGATCAACTACTTCAGTTTCTGATTGTGAGGTTTACTTTGCGTTTAATTGTAGTTGAGGCGTGGAATGTAAAAGAGTTTGCAATAAACGAGGTTCTCCCGTGTTTCTCACCCAATGGTCGAGTAAGTGTTACAGGACTAACTGGTGAAAGTGAACTGAATGCATCCTAGTCTCTATTGACCAACCTCTCTATGTATTGACACCGCACAGCGAGGTTGCAACAATCGAGGTTGCAATAAGCGAGGTTCTGCCATTCTTCTGGTCCAGATCTGAACGAAATCTTAACACAGTCCCCAATTGAACGACTGGAATGCATTCTATTCCTCGCCAACCGTTCCCTCCTTTTATCGACTCCATGGAACGAGCTTCTGCAATAAACGAGGTTCTAGGATCCTGAACTACCGCGCTTCTGACCCAGGGCTCAACGAAATCTTAATCCAGTAGTGACTGGTGGAAGTGGACTGGTGAATCGGATGCTGGGCGAGGAGGGCAAGATATTACTACGTCCAACGGGCGCTGGAGTCGTTCGCAGAGGGAGAATCCGGCCGAGTAAATCCAGGAGGAGAGTCAAACGATAACGGCCCCGCTTGGAAACAATTCGCCGGGGGCAATGTTCCGGAAAGGAGGGAAGAAGTTTCAGTCGCCGCGACAGAAATAGTGGCCCGTTACGGTTCCTTGCCTCTCCGATGCTTCTCGCGTTTCGAAAGGGTGTCGACGAGATTCCCCGTCGTTCGCCGGGAAAACTGGTTCAACCGGTGATTTCGGATGTCGTGGTCGTTCGCGAATTGCGGTTGGAGCCGCTGAGGGGAACGAAGGGAAGGGCGAGTGGAAGAATTGTTCACGAATGTGGTAATAAGAGGAGACACGAGTGGGTACAATAGTATCTTGGTTATTGACAGAATCTGTCCTACGAATACCAGCCATAGAAACATCCCCGCTACTATTTCTTCGTAAGACACGATGCGAGTGATGTTAGCGGTCGATTTATAAACAGGGTTTATATACTTCAAATGCTGCGGTGTATTACCATTCAGGATATTATTCGCCAATTTTATACCAACTATCATGTGAAATTGTTCGAACACGGCATCTTTGATATTAAAAAAATAATTACACGGTGGTAAAAAATAATATTAAATTTCATGTTAGTACACGGCAATCCTGAAGAGATAAATACCATTTTTAACGAACACGGTAATTGGGATTACATTGCATTCATTTCCTGGCGATGTCTAATACTACAAAACATGGATAAAAACACATGTCTAATTGGTAGAATGTAGCTCCCTTAAGAAGAAAACCCGTCGTTTGAATAAAGGTTCCCATCGTTGCAATTAAAAGGCTACTTAACTCGAAACAGCAAAGTCGCCTCGTTCACGCACGAATTCCGTTCAAGTACGCCGGCGAGCGAGTCGACTAAAAAAGAGCGGCAATCGTGCTCTTAACAAGCTCTGAAATTAAGGATGCAGTCTGGATTTTAAAGCGGTAATAGAGGACTCTGCAAAATTTGCGGTTCCAGGCATGTAAATATTAGCATCAAGAGCACAATAAAATACTATAATGAAGACGTTAAAATTAAATACACAAACTACGCAATAATAATATAATGCTTAACAAAATCCAATTGTACAAAAACAATACAGGCGAAAATGAAACGGTTTAATAATCTCGAACTTCCTCCAACAGTATTTATTTTGAACTCTCCAAGCCAAGGAGACTGCTCAAGCTTATAATTCTCCGCCAACAGCTCTTTCTCGCAAACAAGTCAGCCGTAAAGACTTCTCTTCCAGCTTCCAACCGCGATACGCGTTCGTGGTCCCAGTTAAGATACCCCAGCATCCCCGCACGCAATCGTTTATCAAATTTAAGAGCCGAACAAAGCAGTTCACTCCTCGATTCCCTGAAACGACGTACTCGCGAACAGCGGTTACATACGCCTGAGCTTTTAAAGCGGTTCCGCGGCGTCGAAAAGTCGAGGCTCCTCCAACGCGAAGAATTGAGAGCGTTGCTCTGGCTCTGTTGGGTGTAGCGGAAGATCGGTCGGTATTTCATTACGGGGAACCCGGAGAACGGTCGGAAAACGCGGAACAACGTGGAACAACTGGCCGGAGGTTATACTCGGCCCGCGGTAACATAGTTAGGCGAGAGTGCAGCTCGAGATATTGCGCGAGCACGGCACTGAGCGGAAGCGGAACGTAAGAGGGAAAGAAGGGAGAGACGACGGTCGGAGAGAGAAAGAGGGAGAGGGGTTGGGCACGAGAAGAGGATGGATGGAACAGGCTGAGGGGCGCGAAGGTTTAGAAGAGCCACCTAGAGGTGGATGGAACGAAAAGGGGGTTGAGTCGGAAGTACTCTCGTGTCAAGAGGAGATTCTGAGTGCTCTCCTGAGAGACGACCATGCACGCCCGAGAGGGTGAGAGGGAGATAGATGGTGCTGGAGACGGGAACCAGAGCGAGACGGTCCACTGAAACGGCGAGGGATGGGAACGATGAACGGGACCGTGTATACGTGTGTACGTGTGCGAGATAGGAGAGTCACTTGAAGCCCTCGCGACTTTGTCAGCGCTACATGGAGCCTAAGTGCGAACGTTCTTGCACTCGTATGTCGTCCCAAGGAGAGGGACGAGGACGCGCCGGAGCAGAAGTGGATCTTCGAGGTCAAGATCGAGGGTTCTGGGAGTTTCAGTCTTAAGCACGATCGTTTGCGTCACCGTCGTATTGCGGGGAGGTTGAAATATCCCCGTGGCGCTGGTTCCCCGTACCCGTGCCAACTTCAACCTTCCGCGTTTCACTACGCCTACCTTTCAACGGAACGGTTGAACGAACCCTTTTAACTACGAATATCGTTATTCATTCTTTTAACGATGCTCGTTTCCAAACAGCGACGTTAATCTCTGCCTTTTATGCAGCTAATTGGAGAACACAGGTCACTTTTAATAGTTAGAAATTCTAGAGTCAAGGTGAGGAGATACAGTCAGTGTCATAAGTATTCGTATCCTCTGTCTAGTGAAGACATTTGTCTAAATTAAATGACAGGTTTGGTGTTTCATTATAAATATACGCATGTGCAAAGTTTATGCATGTACGTACTTATAATGAAAAACTTCTTTGGGATCGTCGAGTCTATCATTTAATTTACAATTAGACAAATTTCTTTAATCGACATAGAGGGAATACTTATAGGACTGACTGTATCTCTAGTATTTAGAAATTCATTTTGGAGTATAAGTAGTTAGAGATCAAATTTTTGTGCTATTTATAAATTTATTCAAGATTTTTCCATTTTTTTTTTTCTTTACCCACCTTGAGACTGCCTTCTTCAGACCCACAATTTTTATTATTAATAGCTTCAAAAAGATCTAAAAAAATTCAAAATCATTCCTCAAGATCTTTACAACAGAATCCAATCATTTTTCCCAGTTATAGCATCTGAAACATGCCATCAAGTGCTATGTTCAAAGAAACCTCAGGTGTCAACAGCGACAAGAAAGGGAGCCATCATCGAAGATGCTTATCCGGCGATTTCGCTGCATGATTTCGCAGTATCGGAACTGCTGAACCGTTTGTTTGCGAGGAATCGAACGGAATGCAAAGTAACGCGAATCGTCTCATGGGGATCTGGTTGCAACGGCTTCCCATAGTGGCCGAGATAAGACCGTAGAAAAACAAGAGGCCAGGTTGCAGGAAAGGCGACCAACTGAACGAGCAACGGCTTCTGCGAATCAGACTGTTGTTGCGCCCGCCTGTGATAGGCGAAATATTCGCGGACAAGATGCTGATGACGCAGAAAACAGCATGAGACACGAGGTCAGCGACTTTTGTAAATCGAATCCCCGTCGTTCGGTAGGACAGGTAGTATCACTGTACGGAGTATGGTGTTCACAGTACGTAGACTTCTGGTATCGGTGTCGGAGCAGGTGGCATTTTGCGGCTCGCGTTACCGTTTCCCAGAGATATTTGTCAGCCATCAACGTCGACAACCATTCCACGGAACATATATTACTTATTGCTGCGTATCGACTACAATACTGGGGGTTAGATACTCCGGTAGTGTCAAATTAACCCTTTGGAATCGGACGTCCTTTCCGAGGGACATTGTAAGTACAGCAAAATTTGTGAAGATAAACAAGGAAGCCTAAGATTGTAACCTAGGAGGCAGAAACTTTCAATGCACATTTGTGACTGTTTCAAACATTACCACACATTCGAAACATACAAGGTATACAAGTTTGATTTTTGCCCGAAATATCAAAGCCACTTCAATTTAGATTATAAAAGGAATTTTAAAAAACAATGTACATTATTTCATCACATTACTCAACTTTTTGTTTTATGGAATGACTTGGTGTCTAAACATTCACATAAGTAAAATACCATTCCATATAATTTAGTACGACGTGGTGGCTGTTTGCACATTTTTTAACGAAATGATTTTAAGTATCAACACCGGTAGAAGATCGAAAGCGCGACTTACCACCGTTGGACTTCAAGTCATCTGGCTGACCCCGATGATGGTCTGGCTTGGACAACATTGGGAGCGGATGGGCAGCCGTGCCTCCAGCGGTGGCAACCGCACCCGGGGGGATACCTAATCCAAGAAGAGCTGCAGACGCTGAGGTAGGAAGTCCAGGTCCAGGGAGCGCTGGAATACCTGGATGCGGACCGATCGCTGCACCTGGTGGTAGCTGCTGAGCGTGCATCTGTTGGAGCAGCCTCGGTAGATCTGGCCTCTGTTGCTGCAACAAATCATGAAAATCAACTATTGTTACCTTTAAGAATTTCCTCCGAATTGTTCGGAGCAAAAGAAATTGCTTTATAACAAGAACGTATTCGGATGTCTCAGAAACTGTTAACACTAAACTTACCACAACAGGTCAAATGACCGTTTTCAAATTTTTATTTGCAATTCTTACACGCTATGTATGAATTATATACAATTGTTTCACGCATTATTCAATTTAGTTGCAAGTAAAATATTTTTGCGTTTAATTATATAAAGAAATGCGTAATATTTCCCGAGACATCCTATTATTTACCGAGTACAAGGTGATACGAAGACGCAATATCTTACAAGTAGATTTCTTTATTCGATACGTGACCATTGTATTCGGCAAGTGTACCGAGACGTTTCGATGTAATCGCGAGCGTACAGACAGAAATCTAATTGCGACGACAAGCGACAACAGGTCGTTCGGCTAAGTCTGGAAGGCGAGATTAGATCGAAGAGCAGGTGACATCATTGGGCAACGACGAAACACGCCTCCGTTGATCGACGGTTGTTATCGCGAACGGATGAATCGACCGGGAACAAGCCGATATCAAGAATATTGCTCCGGCGAGTTGGTGATAAAAATAAATTCTCAGGACACTCAGGTCTCGATAGGTCAATTTGAGAGTTATCTTCGTTCAGCGTGAATGCATAAATAATTCTGTGCTCGCATCGCGAAGTAATGGATATTGACTTTATTTCCGTTCCTTACATGATTTAACATTTTCGTTGGAGCGAGGTGTTCTAGCGCTTGTTCGATATAACGACGAAGTGGATGTAAATAGTACTGTTCGTCGTGTGATCAGAATTAGAGATTAAAGAGGGTCGAAATATAGCAAAATGTCGCAGAGAACTGAAGAATCGGTGACATGGTTTTCGTTGTACCATTGTGGCTAATATTGGAGTCTTCGAAGAGAGATGGGAATATTCTGTCTCATTTTGGAATAATTTTTTGAACGCGCTCTTGAAGATACCGTTTATCTAATATAACATCTAGGTCAACGAACAAAAGTTCAATATTGTTAGCTGCATCCGTCAGGAACTTTAATCCACTGGCATCCTCGATAAACAAAACTCTACAGAGACCCCTCGCAAAAATGAAAGCCTCAAATTATGATACTATTACCCTCGTCGACTTGCTCCTAATGACCCTGCTCATCTCACATTCATCCCCCCGAAACACGAAAATTCCAGCAGCATTCAGAATAAAAAAACAACCAAAACATACTTCATGAAACGCATCGAGTGCTCCTCGTTTCCATCGCGTCCATTTATTCCAAACGTCCGTCCGTTGTTCGTTACGCGGCAGGCAACTTTCCGCGGGGCAAAGCATACAAATCACGGGGTAAACTTGCTACGCTTAAACAACCCTGGAACCGTGGTAAATCCGAAAGTACGAAACAAGTGGCGGGACTCTCGCGCGGCCTTTCCTGCGAGTAACCAGGAGGGAAAAGTTTCAGGGGGGAAACCTTACTAAACGTACACCCTTTTCCGTCGGTAGTTTCCTCGTTAGTTGGTCCGGGTCGGGGGTGTCGGTCGAGTTTCAGCTGCCAGACAAATTGTAGACCCGCGCAGCGAGCGTTTTAACGCTCGGTAGATCACGAGACGCGGCCACGCCGTGGTCGGAGAAGGAGCCAACATCCGAATACAGGAAGAACGGAAGGGACCAAACGAAGATGAGAACCGAAAGACGAGAAACGCGAAAGAAAGGGGGTGGAAGCGTTTCGACGGGTATTGGAAGTGGGGTATAACGAAATAATAAAATACTAAATTTATTAATTAAAAATCCTGATTTTATTACTAAATATAGGAAGGGTCTTCTATCGCAATTGAGAGGGCAGGCGATATCCTAAACTTTCTCTTTATTCTGCAGTGACAGATTTATACATTATTTTTGTAGTGAAACAAAATGTCGAATTATAGTAAAGATTCCAACAACGCGAAACGGGGGATGAAATGAGGAAAAGCGGAACGCGCCAGTCTTCCGCGAAACCTGTGCACTCGTTAAGGACTGGGGCGAGTATTCCGCGGAGTAGTTTGCCGAGATAATTAAATGGTTTAACGATATAATAACCCCGCGGCAAGGGACCGTCTGAGCAACCCACAAAACACACAAACAGGGGGAGAACGCGTGCAGGAATGAAATGTGCTCGGGTTGGCCGCAGGGATGCGACGGGTCGCGAGAAGTTTCCTGAGGATTCGAGGGGACTGGAAGAACACCTAAGAAAAGTCCTGGGCTTCCCGACGCCGGTAACGATAATAATCCTGACCTCGAGTCGTTGTGTTGGAATTCGCGGTATCGCAACCGTTCTGGTCCGTTCGCGTCGAGGAGATCATTTCCGTGTTTATGGGCTTTGGGGTTCTGCCGATGATCTGGAAGAATTTATTCGTAGGGCAGGGCTCGTAGATCGTTGTCCTAATGTTGGGAACGTCGTTTGCATGTGGACGAATTGAACAGGTGTCCTCAGAGGATTCAACAGGAAAGTCGATGAAGACGCTTCTCCGTAACTAAGATTGTTTTATTTCGATTTATTTGAAGCATGGGACTTCTTTGAGGATTTTAGGTAGAATGTTACAATGTTTCATTAGAAGTATGTACATAAACAGATTCTACACGTTTATATATTCACAATGAGAAGTTTATTTGAAAACGTCAAAGTTATTATTTAATTTAGACAAATTTCTTTAATAAACATAGATGATACGAATATTTATGGGACTGACTGCATATCTTAAGAGACACTTTCCCTTCAAAATGACTATGAAAAAGATTCCAAAATTGACGAACGTGTTGCATAATCTCCAACGTAAGAAAAAAGATTCTAAAGGCATCGTGCATATTATTTATTAATTTCTACATTTCTGGAGTAACTGGAAGACTCGATAAGTCCAGTATTAGAACAGTGAACCAATTTCAAGGCCTGTAACGTTCACCGTCTTCGACCAAGTATTGCACGAGCAAGAACGAATCAGTGCGTTCAAAGGGAATGTTGAACGAGTAATCGTTTCCAGCTGCTTTCGTTTTCACTGCCGAAGATGGTTCAAGTGAGACACGAAGGGAAGATTAAGCGAGCAAACCAGGGGTTATTTCAATCCCTGAAATTTTTCCACTCCGGGACGGGAGGATCTTTTGTGAGTAGCGACAAAGAGGAAGTCATTAAGGTCCCCTTCATCTTCGCGCGAGCCTTCTTACTGCACCTGCATCCACCGGCAGGCTCGCCTCTCAGCAGTTTTCACCGACGTCGCTACTTGCTGACTCAACCAGCCGTGAAGATAGCGCCGCTAAAAGATCCGAGGGAGATCGTCTTAACCTTCTTCTATATCACACGTCGTTGACGCCTGAAAGCGTCTTCGGCTGCCCGTTCTTGTAAGAGATCACGAACGTCAGCAACATCGCCAAAGATTCAACGAGGCAAGCGCATACACGCGGCTAGCTTTACAAACAAAATACCCCTGTACGGTCCCCGGGGGAGGCGGATGAAAATTTTGAAAGACCAACGCGCCTCGCTCGTTGCGATAACGCGAAGATTTGATCAACGATAACGCTCTGTGAATGAGTTGCGCATATTTCCGGATAAGGAGCGATGACGACCATTCCACGCATAAATACAATTCTGCGATAACGGAGGCGTTATCAGTCAATCGATACTGTTGTTGTATCTTTTGTAAGAACGTGTTTCTTCCATAGTGACCCTTTCAGACCTGGCGTCCACAATTGAGGACACAAAATTGAAAAATTATCGATACTATCGTTTAGGGTGAATGTTTTTAGGGTGCATACGAAGAAAGACCAGTTTCCCTCGAAAACTACGCTATTACGATTTTTTTTGATTTTTTCCATCCTAATTTTAGTCAAAATTATAATCATGTAAACATCGAGGAAATATAGATCTTATTATATAGATTCAGAAATATTGAAGAAAGTGTCTCGATCTTCCTCAACGATCGAGTCTAATACCAGAGAATTTCATCGCTAAACTGATGTCAAACTTCAGCATCAGAAGGTGAGAGAAGAAAGTAATGAAACATCCCTACATCTTCATCTCACCAAGATCTTTCAGTTCGGTATCCAAAATATCCTCGATACCACAGGAAACAACAAATCACACCTCCCAATACTCACGACATCTTCAATCCCAACACAGCCTCAACCTCCACAAATCGACTTCGAAGAGCACCTCATCCCATGTCCATCTATCTCTCAAACAACAGAAAGCGTATTGTCGATTTCGTGTCCCTGATTCGCGGTTGTTCGCGGCAAACAGAGCGCGTGGAAAGTTCGCGGGGCGGTTGGTGTTTTTCTTTCGATCCGCGGTCGGTGACTGAAAGGATTTAAGATCACCGTGGAAAGACGGGGGGTTTGGACGGGGGTTTGCCAAGCCGGGGGAGCGATTTAAAGCGCGCGGAATCCTCGGATTCTGCTAAGGATTTGCCGCACGTAGCCCGAAAACGCCGCGGATCCGTGGAAGTTTCTATGGTCGGGGGTTGAGGCGGAGCGCCGGCGAACAAGCGAAAGGAGGTGGGGTAGAGAGAAGGGTGAATCGTGGCTGCGGGGGTTGGCGATGGTCGGGGATGAAGGAGGTCGAAGGCAGTTGGGTAGCAGGAATGCTGATTAGTCGGTGCTCGTGCGCCGTAACACTATAACCTATCCGGCTTGGAAACCGGGCAGGAAGACTCGGGATAAGATTCAACGAGGGAGGCTGTCGTGAGCGGGGGTGGTCGATGGTAGGGGTTGCAGATCAGGGAGGCAGGGTGGATGAGCGCGATGGAAGAGGAAGGAGACGAAACCGGGGAGAGAAGCCGGCGGCTTAATAGGGAGGAAATTGAGTGCTCGAGCAATATTGAGGAGGATTCGGGATTCGCCAGGATCGTATCCATCCGTCCGCTTTCGGATTCCTCGGGCGTGCATCGGCTTCCTCCTACCGCCCGCGCAGGGATTCTCATTCGCCGCGAATGCGTTTCACGCCGGGTTGAACGCGAATCAGCCCCGACGTATTCTGTCGGCCATTCTACTGCTGCGGAGGAACAGGCGAACGGGGCTCGGCCGTAAATTTTCGACGAAAAGGATTTTGCGGGGGGGAATTGAATCTTCGTTTTTCTCTCGTACCACTCGCGGATAAAGGTTCCAGGATCGTTGGGAGCGGCGCTGACGGGAAATGGGCGAAAAAGTGGCCCGGTAAACGTTCCGCAATCTGCATCCACGGGGATACAGACTATTTACTTTATTTGAGGAAGGCGGGAGCACTGAGTGCCTCGTGAAACGTGGGCATGGACTTCAGAGATGAATTCGGTATGTAGGGTGAATGCGGAGACGCTTGTCTTGTTTGCTTGTATGGGAAATGAGCTATAACGAAATAATAAAATACTAAATTTATTAATTAAAAATTTTGATTTTATTACTAAATGTCACGCGTAAGCTGAGACCTTTTCTCTACGTGGTGCTGCTCAAGACTAACGGACAAACGTTATAGGAAAAAGGTAGAATTTCTAGCAGTATTTTTGTAGTAAAATAAAATGTTGAATTATAGTAAATATTCCTAGAGTACTTTAATTTAGAATATTAATTTACTAAATTCAAATTGAAGAGGATTCTGAAGTGAACCCTAAAAAGGAATACCCAAAACGTACGAGAAATAATATCTAATTTCACTCTAAAATTATTATTCATGAATATATTTGAAACGACGCCAAAATATTTTTATGTGGCAACATTACTTGACTAAAACAAAAGAATTATCCATTAAAATAACGAATAAATTCTTTTTTTCACCATTCAGAAATTGTCCACGTGCAGACGTGAAAATTTCACTATGGAAAATGAAAAATTGGCTTTCGTCATAATAAATTTCGCGCCGCTATTGTGTTTTGTTCGCACAACCATTCCTGGCCAGTTCTAAATGGTTGCAACTTTTATCTGCCAATCGTTTCTATAACTTTACGCGATAAATGTAACAACCGACCCATCAAAAAAATAGGAAAAAATACGATCTGTCCACAAATCACATCCGTGCCATATCGATTCGCAGAGCTCGCGAGAGGGTGAATTGATTTCGAATTAGAAAGCGGGAATTTCATTGCCCGCGAGCGTTATTTGTTTTTCGTGCCCGACGACTGCGTTTAATATTTAATTTACTGTTTAATGTTACTCCAATAACGGTCCCTGAACAGTTTCGACGGCAAGCACATGCGTCACTCTCTGCGTTCTACACGCATACAGTCCCAGGTAAAAATATGTCACGCTATCGTTAAGTTTTGAGTATTGCGTAAATAATTAATTGTAGCAAATTGTATAGCGATATGAATAGGATAATGATATAGGAGATATGAATATATGTTATTTCATTATATGATTTTAAATAATAACAGAAATCAAAGGTAAAAATATACCTATTGTTAAGTAAATATTATTTGATACGCATACGTTAATGATACATTGAACATAAATGTTGTCACTGCTTTAGTGTGCTATGATTTCACATTCTTGATATTCAACTGCTTCTTCTTTTATAATTGAACACAAAAGATAGATATCATTCGTTGCAATTAAAAAATGATCGAAAATAAAGCGTCTCAGGTATGAATACATTTAACTGAAATTAGTGTTCGTTAGTTGTACACGAGAAAATCTTGTAGAATAATAAAATGAAAAATGAGAAATAAAAGTTTCGTAGAATCCAACTTTTACGAGAAACAACAAGTCCCGCTTCGCATCAATTAAAAAATACTCCAAGCGTTATCGAAAAATAAAAGATGGCAGTTGACAGTGCGATCCTTTTGACCAGGAGTGTACGGGTACGCGGGTGTATACCGAACACAGTGGGCGCGTGTAGGTTGCAGAGAGTAATTTATCTTCCATTGGCGAGCACTCACCCCGATAATAGCGTTGAGTTCGGTCATGGTCACTTGTTTGGCTCTCTCAACAGCAGTAGCGACTTGTTGTGTATGTTCCTGGGAGAGAAACGGCAGGATCTGAGCAATTATGGCGTTTAATCTCTTCGCTATCTCTGTCTGAAAGCAGAAAGGAGAACGATCCTTATTAAACGGTAAATCGCTTTACGGCCGATCGACGATCCATGTACGCGTAATTGAACGAGAATAACGATCCACCACCCACCTCCCCCTCCCTACGATCCTCCCACTGTCACTTTGAATGCATTCGAGAAGTATCATCCATCGAACACGACACGCAGTCGCGTCCAATATACGTCGCATAATTAAGATTTTATCGAGATCGTTATCTCCCTCTGTCAATCCATCGATTAAGCGGCTACGATCTCGACGAGAACACCGCTGGAAACTTCAATTTCCATTTCAATCGCGTGATCGACTGATTAATATCGATAATGAGTATCAATAATTTCGCCGTTTACGTACAACAGGATATTTAACCTGATTCGACGGGAGCGAAAAACCCTAACCACGCCCCCTTCGCGATATTCTTTTACACACTGGGTACACGCACGCGTACCCGAGGCGGCGAAACTGGTTCCATGCAAATTGCGCTTTTGGCTCGAACACGCCGATATATGTTTCCTTTCTTTTCTCTCAATTACAAACCGCTCGAACACCTCCTTACATTTCACCGAGCCAGTCGCAAATAACGTTTGCATTTACTTTAAATCAGCGAGCCGGTGCGTACGCTGCGAAGTTAGGTTTAAAAACAGGCTTCAAGCTGTACCTCGGCGTTACGCAATTAGCTAATTACTCCGTCATTATGTATTTACGGTTTCTACCGAGTAGCGAGGGCGTTAGGGTAGTAAGCAGGATATGAACGTTCGAGGATAGGACAGAAACTGCACTTTACCTGAACCCAGTTTCGATTGAAACGTTAGATAAAAGTTTGAGACGTTCAAAGTTTAATTTGGTTAAGTTTATACTGTAACGAATAAATCAGTTCAATTTAGTCTTAATCTAGGCTTTTTGAAAATTAAGAATATCCCCTTTTTCTGAAAAAAAGATATAATTTTAATACAAGACTTTTACTTCGTCCTAATCAGTAGTTATTACAAGTATTCGTAAATTGTCAATCTCAAACAAGTTCAGAACAAATTCCTTCCTAGTGCCTTCTTCATAACTTCGACACCTCGAATATTCAGTACCCTTCCGGTCTCGACACAAGAGGTACATTATTCTCCAGACCTATTTCTAAATTGGAATAGTTCGTCGGTCCCAGTCATTCGAATAAAGATTCCAATTTTTATCGAACAGGAAACGTTCCTCCGTGGTTGAACGACGCGAGATGACGCCCTAGGCGACTTTAAGTCGGATGGATAAATAATGTAAGGGCTGGCTGAACGCACCCTTAGGAGGGAAACGAGTGCAGATGCAGGTGCGGCATAACCGGTCGAGGGTGTTTACGACGCCCTCCAGGCCAGGACTACAGACTGACGGGGATTAAATTAAATCCTCGCTGAATTGGTGGTGGCGTGGTCTCTCTTTCTCGGGGCTCGGCTCAATTTTCGTCCGGAGCGGTGCCGTCGGGCATTACCTGTATCTGCTGCCACCTCGACCGGAAATTAAGCTCCCTCTACCAGCAAGAAGTCGATTCACCTGCGGCTCACCCCTCGGAAAACCGCCAACTGTTCTGGACAAGTGACGAACGACGACTCTCAATCGTTTGGCCCGAGGTCGCGATCCCGTTTCACCCTTATTCGTCGACGAATGTAGGGTAAGGTGGCCTAAATTCGACCTTTTCCATATTTTCTTTTAAATATAATATTCCCCGCAACTAAGCCTAAGATAATCTGTTAAGTGACTGAATTATTTTGACGAGGTTCCATTTAATAAACCGGTTTCCCTTATATTATTTAATTCGATAAGCAAATTGCGTTCAATAAATTCTGTATACAGTGTAATTATTTTTGTAATTCTATTCAATAAATGAATGTTCTCCGTTGAATTGGATTGAATAAACATTTCTATGTGATTTCATTCAATTAGTGAATCGCATTAATTAAATTATTTCTATATAACATGTAGTTTCCTTCGATATAATTATTTCTGTAGTTGTGTTAAATAAATCCACGATTTCCATTGAATTGTACTGAATCGAATAAATATTCCTATGTACTTTCATTGAATAGATCAACAATTTCTAGAATATCGTCCAATAAATCAATCACTTCTATAATTCTGCTCGATAAATCAATTATTTTCAAATAATTGCATTCAACAATTAATTGCTTCATTCAGTACGTTTCTATATCAATTTATTCATTAAATCATTCAATAGAAACTTGTTATATTGTCTATCAATCACTTGGTACGATTAGATTAATCAGTCGATATTTATTTTTCTTAGAATTCTTCGTGTGAATACAACAAAAACCTAATTTTAAATAATAGAATACAAGACCAAGTACCTTAACTCCGTTCTTTGTTCATGATTAATAAATCAAACAACAATTAAAACTATAATATAAGTTAACTAATTTATCACATTTATTCTAAACTTATAAAATCACAGAGTCAAATTATATTAACTTGAAACGTATTATTAAGTCGTTTGGTCTACGTTTAACAGGAATTTGTCGAAACCGTGTAATAGTTTCGTAACTCAGATTAATTTTCCAGGAGATAACGACGCTATGGTTTCACGTAACAGACTGCGTTGAATTGTTCACGATTGGAGTTCCACCTGGATTCGAATTTTGATCGGCTCCAACTTTAACGAGGCCGCCGTATAATCGGGAATAATAATTCCATTAATGTATAATCGAAAGCGTCCCGCTCCCGTTTCCCGATTCTGCCGAGGTTAATTTGCGTTAACGATGCGATAAATCCGTTTCAGAGAACTCCCGCCATTCGTGATTCGACGATTTCGTCGTCGTTGCGAGATGTTCCGTTAATTGAGGTGTCCGATCGTGGAGTGGCGTGCGTCTATTCGATCGTGATTGACGTGGAAGCTTTCGATTGTCTGGAATCCTTAAACCGAAGTTAGAGAGACCATCGAGCCATGAATCATTTACTTATTGAACAGTTCGAATCACAGGATTACGCGGCCTGGAATATCGCGCAATTATTGTCTGTTGCGAGGTTTGGATATCGCGTGAGGATTTTATAAATTGGATAATAAATTAAAATACCAAGCTTTCCATTTAAATCTCATTGAAGAATTCATCGAAGAATAAAAATTGCATGACCCACCTAAAAAGATTTCTACTTTTAAACATTCTGAAATCTGTTACATAAAACACTCCGATCAGATTTGAAAGGGCACAAAAGGTAATTCTGTTCCTTATCGAGTAGAACAAAAATACCAAGCTCTCCATTCGAAACCTTAATGTCTCGCAACCAAACTTTTAATCTGGCCACCTCAGTCGTATCGCGTTTCAGCATCAACAAGATCAATGCTAGTATCGTGTACCCGTCCCAACCCTCTTCCACAAACGGTACTTACAGTTCCCCGATGCACTTTTACGGTTTCGTGTCGACTTTTTACTACTCCAATTACACAGCGTGTATCACGCAAGCGACTCGACGTGGATGCTTCTTTCCCATTAAACGGCGCCACTCAGCGAGAGCTTTCTCACGTTCGCAAAACGCGAGAAGGGAGACAAAGAGAGCGACGGAAACGGAAGAAGTCGATTCGTTGCAATAGGAAGCAGAGATACTACCGGAGAGTGTCTGACGCTGAAAACAACTCGGTGTATTTACGAATCTCAGGTGCGCTCTGTGGGAATCATATCTAGAGATGCCAGACGCACGTCTTTGAGGGGTGACTTCATGATTTAACTGTGTACTTGTTAGGTTCTTTTTTTTATTCAACGAAGAATATGATTAGGAAGTTCTGGAGCAAGTGGCATATGGTTCCATAGTACTCTTATCAGAAGACACTTCATTCTTCATAAGACTGAGTCACGTATCTTTCCAAACTCTTAGGTTTCCTAAGTATCATCTGGCATGATAACTGTGTGCCAGGCATCGTTCAGTATTCACGAGGATGCATGGCTTACGTCGAGGATTTATTCATCCCTTGACCTAGACGTAAACCATTAGAAAGTGAAACTTTTAGGCATCTCAAAAGAAGTCTTCGATTTATACTATGACAATTGCATGTACCCTTGTAGCAATACTCTCGCAAACAATATCAAACATGTCCAAACTATTAGAAGGTGAAACTTTGGTGTCGCACAAAAAACTTCTTTAACGTTTACTATGACAACTGCGTGTACCTCCTAGAACGAAATCTTCACAAACGATCTCAAACAGTGTCTACGAACATACAACCCGAAACAAACATCAACCAAGCAAGTAATCCTCCACTGCAGAGTTCAAGTATGATCGCACGTACAATCGTGATTAAGTTTCTCCATTAAACGGCGCCGATCCGCGAGAGTTTTCTCACGTTCGCGAGACACGGGCCGCGCGTAAGGCAAAGAAAGAGCGCGACGGAAACGGAAGAAGCCGATTCGTCGTTGCAATAGGAAGCAAAGTACCGCAGGTTGAGGTGTCCGAGGCTGGAAACGGCCCCCGCGATGTACACAGATCCCAGAGCGCGTTCTGTGTGACTCATAAACGCTGGCTGTATAAACTCGCCAGGCAGCAGTCGGTGTAAACGCAACTCTCCCGTCTCACCTCTCCACGGTTCCTCGGGGCTCTTGCAGTAACGCCAACACAAGCATCGCTCGCACGGCCTGGCACCAGCCGTTTTCACTGCCGCTTAAACGAGCCTCGGATGCTAATTGAAATATCGCGGCCACTAAAATTCTTGGCAAGTTTCCCTCTCTCGGGGGCACTGGCTGACGAACTGAGCCAGGAAAACGAGGCCCCTGAAAGAAGGAGGACGCGAACTACCAGAGGTTTGTGGGGGTAGGAGGAGAAGACCGTGCCGCGGCGCGGGGAGAGTTGTTTTAATTACCCGTCGCCCTTCCGAGTGGTAGTCATTAGACCACTAATTATAACGTACGGGAAAATGAATCGCGCCATCCGTGAATGAGCTCCAACCCAGAGACAGCGAGAGCAACGTGGCCCGACTCGAACGAACAGATGCACGGATTGCGTCCGAT